GTGTGTTTACAAGCAGGCCGCATTGTGATATTATGTAGCCGGCGCAGCGTGCACACGTGTGTTGTTGCACCGATGGAACGCATCGTTGCAACGTAGGTTCAACGTATAAAGTTACGTTTCACGCACTATTTCCCGTCGCGAGTCCCGCGCGCACAACCACCGCAGCCGGCGTCCCGTTAATTTATAAGCGAAAAGGTCGAGATCGCGTCGCTTCGCCCGATTATATCCGAATTATACCGATAAACACCGAATGTAAACGTACGGCGTTCCTCGCCGAAACGAGGCTTGCTCGTGTGGATAATTTTAATCGCCGATAAGGATTTTTTTTCTTTTTTCGTTATTTTCTTTGCAGTGAATATTTTTTTATCCGTCGAAAGTTCGAAATCATTGTAGGTGGAAGTTGAGATTGGTTTCGAAAAATCTGGGGAACGCTAGAATGAAAAAGAAATTGTAACAAATATTGTTCGCAAGTTGAAAAGTTTCGTACGATTTATGAATTATGAATTAAAGTTTTCGTAAAAGTTTTTTGAACACACTTTTTATTTGGAAATTGGTTAAGTGAGAGTTTTTTGTCGTGTTGAAAAATTCTTTTGAACCGAGTGTTATTGATACAATAATAATTTCAAATTAATGATAAAATTAGATAAAGATTTAATATAAAAAAGAAAAAAATTTGTATAAAATTGTGAATTTTGTAGAATTTAAAAAGATTCAATTGGAATTCAGAAAATTTATATTAATCGTTTCTTTAATAGGAATGATATTTGGAAACTTTCGCGATTTCTTAATCGTAAGACATTAAGACATTGAGTTTCGAAATCAAAATCTACTTCACTATCGAATCATTTGAAAACTTTTAATAAAACTTTCAAAATCCATTTTCGATTAGATTATTCGAATCATTTTATTACAGATAATTACAATTAAAATCACGCCATTCTTTATACAATTGAAATTGCGTTCGTTTCGAATAATTAGAAATTGCGAAGATTAGACGAAATTAAAAAGGTTTAAAAAAATAACAATTGAAAATTTAATGCAAATAAAGATTGATCTCGAAAATGGAACGATCGAAATATTCGATAAATTATTATTCCTTCTAAAATTAACAAAAAGAAAAAGAGAGAAAAAAAATAAAAAAAAAAGAAAAGAAAGAAAGAATGAATGAATAGAATAGAAAAAAAAATTCCATCATAAATTAATTCCATTACATTTACTCGAACAAGATTCTCTTTTCAATCTAAATGCGATATCAAAGTGTTACTCATTTACTCTCTTTTTCTTCTCATAAAAGCTCCACGTTCTGAAGACAAACGAAGATAAGAAGGACACCGAACCGGAATTGTAAGGTTTGTTAGAAAACGAGGAGTACTAATTAAATCTAACGAGATATTTGCTCGAACTTGGTACAAGAAGCACAGGCCGCATTAAGTGGCTTAATTAAACACTGAATTCAACTGAAGTATCGCGTATTATCTCCACTGTAGGCACATGTATAATCGCCGTGCTTGTTAAGAATAAAAATTGCACGATTAAAAATCTTCCATTATCTTTCTTTCGTCTAAAAATATCCTTTGGAACAACGCGAGCAAATCCGAAGAACGCTCACAAGTCTTTTCTTCTTACAAAAGAGCCTTTCCTCTCTCTCTTTCCTTCTCGTGCATTCTATTTTTCTATCCGTTCAAAGTCTAAAAAGTATTGAAAATCCGTGGTTAAAATAAAAAACATGTACGCTAGTCAAGTCTTGAAAATTGAAAATGATTGCGTGCACCATCCTCGTAACTTTGTTACGCTCGACGTTTCTGTTGCACTCGATAAATTTGATAGGAAAAGGAAAAAAGAAAAAGAAAAAAAAAATAACACATCGTCGAAGATATCCATGAAAAGAGGAAACGATTGCAAAATTTCTCGACTCTTTATTACATTCGAATCCCTTTTTGAAATTGACATAGTGAAATTTCAACGCGTACCGATTCTACCTTGTAACGTCGCTAGAATATGTAGAAAATCGGAGAAACATTTTTATTTTGTGGCTGCGATACCATTGATCACACTTCAAACTTTCTAATCTTCGAAAAATTCGATTGAAACGAAAATTATATCTGGATGAATTTTATTTAAAATTGAGATAAGAAATATTTATTTTTAAAAAAATTTTAATCTTTGTTAAATA